CAACCGTATACGCGAGGAAGTGGCGAACGTTGGACCGGAGCGCAACGTGCTTTTGCTATCGAGGCTTACTTTAAGAGTGGTGATTCATACGCAGCTGCGTTTCGGAAATTTTGTACACGATACAACATTCGCCGACCAAGAGATGCCCCCAGTAAGAACCTATTGAAAAAGTGGATTAAGAGGTTCTAAAAACAGGCTCTATTCTCAGTCACCCCATTCCTGGCCCCACCCCTACTGTAAACCGAAGAAAATGTGAGTCGAGTACGTGATTCGGTCATTGCAAATCCTCGGCGTTCTGTACGGAAGCACTCCGCTGCTTTGGGAATCCTTAGGTCAACACTGCTTGGCATAATGAAGAAAAAAATGGGTTTTCATCCTTATAAGTGATTTCGTATAACGAAAATCTTGTGCTGAACGGATGTTCAATCTTCTTCCTACGCAGCGCAGACTAGAGAACGTTGTTTTCAGTCACGAGGCCCATTTTCACTTGGACGCTTATGTGGACAAGCAAAATTGCAGATATTAGGCATCAATGAAGCCAAAACAGAAACATCAACAACAGCTACAAAGTCCAAAGGTGACTGTTTGGTGCGCCATATCCTCTAGCCGTATTATTGGGCCGTATTTCTTTGAAGATGAAAACCGTCATACATTGACAGTCAATTCCCAGCGATACAAGGACATCATTGACACTTTTTTTGCTTCTATTGTAAGAACAGAACGTCGATTTAACAGAAACACATGGTTTCAACAGGATGGGGGCCACTGCTCATACTTCCAGAGAATCGATGGACACGGTGAAAGCACTTTTTCCTCAAAAAGGTATAGCGAAGTTTGGAGACATTCACTGGCCTCCTAGGTCACCCGACTTCAAGTCGTGAGATTATTTTTTGTCTGGAGGAACTTAAAGACAAAATTCGACGAGAGATAAACATCACTCCGGAACTCTGCAAGAGAGTGTGTGCACGCGATTAAAAGAGTATGTCCACATACATTTGGATGGAATGATATTTAAGAACTAAAACCCGCCGAATTTACGAATATGTTGATGGTAATAAATCTTTTCTTTTCATCAACTTTGTAGTTTTTTTCTTAAATCCAAAAGAGAACTTTCCTACTGGATACACTGTAGAACTCTAAATACAATTAATCAAGGATGATCAATGTTTATGTCAGGACTATTTTATTTTAAAATTATGTTCCAACTATTCCACAGTCACTATAGGAATTTTGGAAAACATAAAGACCTATTGGCACTCCAGAGCAAGCTGCTCGCGGTTATTTCAAATTTGTGCAGTACAAAAAATCTATAGAGCAGTGATTTTTCACAAATCTAAGTCGTCAATCACATTTCCAAAATCAGGAATTTGTTCTTCTGAACCTCCCTCAAAAATGCCTCTAATTTTTGTACCTGCTATATGTACTTATCTCATTTCAGCTCAGTGGCACATGAATACAAAATCGTATTAATCTGAATTCTGAAATCTACAAGGTCTGTCGCATTTATTTTATTCAAAATAGTCTCGTTCAGAGTTAATACAGCGATTTGCATAGACCAAAAGATTTTCAAATGATGATTTTAGCTCATTGACCGGGATGTCCTTAAAAATGGTCATCGACGCCTTTTGGATGGCCTTACGTCGGCATACCGCTGTCCCTTCATGGCCAAATGTAGTTTACCAGACAGAAAATAGTCACACGGTGCCATATCAGGAGAATATGGGGAGTGGTTGATCGTTAAAATGCCATTTTTTGTAAAAAAATCGGACACAAGCGTCGATATTCTGCCCGAATACCACGAATACGCGACAGCAAACGTCTCAGAACACCCAGATGAAACTCAGCATTAACCGTTTGGCCCGGTGGAACGAATTATTTGTGAATAATTCTCTTCGAATCGTAGAAACAAATCAACATCTTCACTTTGGACTTTTCCAAACGGATTTGGCTCACTTGGGTGGTTCCATTCGGTACTTTGACGCTTGCTTTCGGGATCGTATTGAAAACAGCACGTTTCGTCACCAGTTGTACAGTAAGTTTTTGCCTTTTTCGGCCTCTTTAATGATGTCTCTTGAATGTTGAATTCGAAGCAACTTTTAGTCATCCGTAAGCTTTTGCGGAACAAACCGTTAACACACCTTGGTCAAAATGCGATGAATTCAATCTTCAGAAATATTTAATTCCATTTCTATGTATCTAGGCAGCAGCGGTCGCCGCAGTAGTAGACTCTTCGGTCTCCTGATCAGTCGCTGTGCACTGTGCGGGTCCGAATCCCGTCCCAAGAGAAATTTTTCTCTTGGCTATGAAAGTTGTGATTTTCCGTAGGTGGTAGACGGTCTCCGACTGTCGCACGCAGAGGTACCACCCGGCGGATCTCGTAGGCGGGGCCAGAATGTGTGCATGTTGCAAGCACACGTGTTCCTTCGCCAGAGTCCGTGTGGCGTTCCCCGTTTCCCCTGTATCGCCCTATAGCCCCACGGTACCCCATGGGTGTTTAGGCCTTAGGCCCTCGTGGTGGTTGGAGTATAATAAAAATCTCAATGGAGATTTTGTGCCGTTTTTGATATATTCAAACACTTTTTCGACGGTTTCTGGGGTAATGACAAATTTTGCCAGGCTACATGTTCGTTGTCTTTCAGCGACTCACGACCCTCTCTAGACCGTGTAAACCACTTGTGGACTAGGCTACAAGACGAACAAACGTCACCACACGCTTGCATAAACATTGATGCGTTTTGGTAAATGTTTTACCGTGTTTAACACAGAACTTAATGAACTCTGTGTTCGATGCTCATTTTGCAACCGATGCTGAAAAGGTACTGTCTCTTTGAGCGAAATAACTCCGCGTGTAGTGGTTCGATTGTTCTGAAATTTTAACAGGGCATCAATGATAGAGTACATATCCAACGCTAGTCTCCGATAATAATAATAATAATAATAATAATAAAGGGTCTTTATTGCACTAAACATTTAGTACATTACGAAGATGTCGCTACTTGTACCGGATATCTTTCAAAAGTCCTGTATACTTTGCGACAGACCTTGTATGTTATCACGGTGATTCTTTTGATTATGGAAAAGTTAACACGGATTCAAAATTTCAAATGCTTCGACAGATCATCTAGGCATCTAATTGTAAAAGCAGAATCGATTCAATCCTTCAAGCTAGACTTGATAAATACGTGTTGACAAGCGAAATATTTCATCAGCGAATCATGCAAAATACATGTTCGATAGGTAGTTTATTCCAATAGATGCATTATTCAGATATTACTATCTCATGTGTTTACATTATTCAGATACTCATTTCGCATTCATATTCATGTACACATCACAGACCTTTGGCAAAAGTTCGAATGACTATACCGAATGTGTCAAGCTCCACTCTTATTTTTGGGATCTCTGAAACTGTAACAGGTATTAGTAATATTTAGTATTCAGTAATTGACAGAATGTAGCTTGTAAATTCAAGGTGCCTCCGGAAAATCGTTTTAGTTTTTTCTGATTTTATTTGTAGTAGGAATGCAACATAAATTGCACATCAACATTGCCACGTTTTCTGCTCTTCAAGTTGGCATAATTAGAATTTCAATATGACGTTTCGTCTCTTGTCCTCCAACATTTATACTTTATATTCCATTATGGATGCCATAATGTATTTTTGCACAGATTAATAGTTTCTAATTCTAATTCCAAAAATGTATATGTCATTCAATGACATCGACAAACCTTAGTTATGTCAAAAAAGCAAAACTTCCTGGGTAGGCCTTGAAATTATTAGATAGTCATTTGTTTCGCATATCAGATTTATCCCAAAATCATTTTAATTTTTTCTTGAATTTATTTGTGGGGATCTTGAAATAAATCGCATTATTACTTATTTTCCCCTACAAGATGGTGATCAAATTTTCAATTCGACGTTTCTTCTCTTTCGAGTTCCATCACCAACTTGTTTTGATTGTACATTTAAATGATCTGTTTAGTCTTAAATACAGTCATGTATTTATTTAGTTGGCTATGAATTTGTTGTTATGAACATTATAAGGAAATAAAAACTTTTGGTCAATTTAGGCACTATTTAGGTCTGGTCTGGTAAACAAGCAAATGACTCTTATAATTTCAAAGCCTACTTAGGAACTTCTGTTTCTTGGAATATCTGAGGCTTACAAAGCTTCACATATTATACATTTTTGAAATCAAAATTAAAAAGTCTAATCAGCTGCGTTGCTAAGAAAGGGGATCTCTGACACTGTATGAGATATGAAGTTGGTTTGCATATTTAGGTAACTAACAGAAAAAAAAACGAATTTACCCAAAGCCGTTTTAATTTCTTCCTGTTTATTTCTCATCTACAAGACGGCATAATTAGAATTTCAATATGACGATTCGACTCGTCCTCCAGCATCAACTTTATTTTTTCTTGACCTTATTTGTGGGGATCTTAAAACAAATCGCATGATGTCATTGTTACTTATTTTCCCCTACAAGATGGTGATCAAATTTTCAATTCGACGTTTCTTCTCTTTCAACTTCCATCACCAATTTTGTTTTGATTGTACATTTAAATGATCTGTTTAGTCTTAAATTCAGTCATGTATTTGTTGTTACAACGAAAATTATAAGGAAATAAAAAGTTATAGTCAATTTATGCACAGTGAGCATATGACAACTGTGAAGACCTTAAACTGAATATAGTAACAGAGTTTGGATGACGACGACGAAAGAGAGAGAAACCTGAACTCAAAATAAAACTTTTATTGATGGTACTAAAATAATCATAAATAAGCAGAGGTAAATGACAGCGTCATTTCATAGAACTGAAAAGATGGCGGATGACGTACATGTACATATGTGAGCGTTGCTCCGATAATTTTATCGTGAATAGTAAGTTAGTGTGCTGCAAAAAATGCAAAAAGGGTTACCATAGTCAGTGCGTGTCAGTGAAGGACGATGCCCTGAAAATTTTGTCTAAATCTAATAATTTTGCTTGGTTTTGTGATATGTGTAAAAACGCAGAATATGGAGCGATTTGTGTTGAAGACAATGGTGAACAAGCTGAGAAAAACAAGCTAAAAAGTGAATGTCTAAAACAAAAGGAAATTGAATGTCTACAACGCGAAAAATGCATACTTGAAAAATTGGTAACGGAATTAGAGAATGCATCACAATTGCAGAAATTTAAAATTGATGTGTACGAAAAGGAGCTGAATGAGACAAAAACGTCATCGAGTAATAGTGGAATGTTGCAAAAAACTGCTTCAGCAGAATCGTACAGCCAAGTGTTAAAAAAGCCATTGTATACCAACAATGACTCATCTGTGTTGCTGGTAAAATCTTCTGAAAGAAATTCTGAGGATATTTTCAAAAGAATGGCTCAAGTAGTAAACCCTGCCAATTTGGAAGTCTATATAAATAGTACAAGGAAGATAAAGAATGGAGTTGCCGTCATTTGCAAAAAAAAATCAAATTTGGACAAATTCAAAAACGTTCTACAAACCCAGTTAGGAGACGAATACGTTGTCGATGAGGCAAAAAAACATAAACCACGCATTCGTGTGAAGAATGTTGAAATAACAGAGGATCTAAACAGTAACGATCAAATAATAGGTAGACTATTTTGTCAAAACAACTTGGATACCTTCAATTCTTCGGATATAAAAGTGATCACCAAATTAAAAATGCGGAATGGCTGTGACCTCATCTTAGAGGTTTCTCCGGAGGTCCGGAAAAAGTAATGGTGCAAGAATACGTCTATATCGGTTGGAAGAGATGTGCAGTTACCGATCACCTTCAAATTGTGCAATGCTATAAGTGCTCAGTGTTTGGTCATACTGATAAGCAGTGCAGATCTGCATCTGCTAGGTGCCCTTCTTGCTCCGGAAATCATTGCTTAAAAGAATGTAAATTTACAAATAAATCATGTAGTAGCTGTATTAATTATAATCATTGGAAAAAGGAAAACATTGCAGTGGACCATTCAGCAAGGGATATGACTTGCCCTGTGTACTTAAGGTACATCTCTAAATTAAAAAGTAGGATTGATTATGGTTAAGGTAAGCTCAGTGAAATTTGGACATGTCAATATCGTTCCCTTGTACCTTCATTCACTGACTTGTCAGCGTCATTATTCGTTATTTTATAGGCAAAGCCTTACTCTTCTCACATTGTTCACTGCTCGAGTCATTTCCCTCTTCTCAGTCTTCCAAACAGTGTTACTAGGTTTGGCAAACTAGCAAATGACTCTTATAATTTCAAAGCCTACCTAGGAACTTCTGTTTTCTGGAATATCTGAGGCTTACAAAGTTTGACATATTATACATTTTTGAAATCAAAATTAAAAAGTCTAATCAGCTGCGCTGCTAAGAAAGGAGGATCTCTGACACTGTAAGAGATATGAAGTTGGTTTGCATATTTAGGTAACTAACAGAAAAAAACGAATTTACCCAAAGCCGTTTCAATTTTTCCCTGCTTATTTCTCATCTACAAGATGGCATAATTAGAATTTCAATATGACGTTTCGACTAGTCCTCCAGCATCAACTTTATTTTTTCTTGACCTTATTTGTGGAGATCTTAAAACAAATCGCATTATGCCATTGAACTTTTATTGATGGTACTAAAATAATCATAAATGCGCAGAGGTAAATGACAGCGTCGTTATCCGTTATTTTGTAGGAAAAGCCTTACTGTTTTCACATTGTTCACTGCTCGATTCATTTTCCCTCTTCTCAGTCTTCCCAATAGTGTTACCATGTTCAATTTTAGATCTGGTCTGGTAAACGAGCAAATGACTTTCATAATTTCAAAGCCTACCTAGGAACTTCTATTTTCTCGAAAATCTAAGGCTTCCACATTATACATTTTTTAAATCAAAATTAAAAAGTCTAATCATCTGCGCAAAAATACAATATACCGTCCCTAAGAAAAAATAAAGTTGATGCTGGAGGACGAGTCGAAACGTCATATATTGAACTTCTAATTACGTCATCTTGTAGATGAGAAATAAACAGGAAAAAATTAAAACGGCTTTGGGAAAATTCGTTTTTTTTTCTGTTAGTTACCTAAATATGCAAACCAACTTCGTATCTCTTACATGGTCAGAGATCCCCCTTTCTTAAAAAGGAGTCCAATATTTTACAGATTGATCGCTAAGGTGTTTTCATGGCTTTCGTTTTCGATATATAAGATGTTGTATCTTGTCGCATATTAATTCTAGTTCATTTTCGCTGACTAGATGACTAGACAAGAAGTCTTAAAGTGGTCTTGTGATTTTCACATGGTTTCACGAGCTTTCGATCATTTTTGGGCATGGTTATACGCTTTAACGAAGTTACAAAGACCTATACGTTTGTGACTTCCTGTTTATTTCAGGGCGTGGCGAAAAATAAAACGATTTGTCAAAGATTTTTCAATAATCATCAAATTACAGAACTCTTGAATGGCATTTAAATAATTTTCCTATATTTGGCGTTTTGTGAAAACACAATTTTAGGAATCGTTATAAAACACAAAATATTCCAAACGTATGTTCATTGCTATGTGAGGAATACAGAGCCAGTCTACTTATCTCAGTTTATATTTAAAAATCCTTAGTTTCGAGTCATTTTATATCTACGTATTATTATACTGGATGAATAAAGACTGAATCATTATAGTTGTTAGATGTGGTAGGCCAATTAAAATGCATAATTTGTATCAATGACGTTAAGTGCAAGTTACCTAACTTACGAATTAATTGAGAACTCGCTACATATTTTTACAAGGCAGTTCATCTTCTAGAGCATACAGATTACCACCTTTCTGTAAAATATAGAACATGTGTGGGTTTGGGATTGGCAAGCAGATTGACATTGATAATGACGGTATTAAGACAACACGTGAGTGTATGGGTGGTTGCCCACAATCAATACTCAGGAAGCAGGGAGGTTGCTATAGCATTTTCTGGAAATTCAAGTTAGCGGTTTTAATATAATTTATTCTTTAGGAATTTAACGGGGGCGAGGAACAAGAATGAATAATAATACTGTACCTTGTAGAGATAGTTAAGTGATACGGATGCTGCTATAGCATTTCTCGAAAATCCAAGATAGCAGTTTTAATAATGTATCTCGACGGGTTTTAACGTCGTACGGAAACAAGAGTAAACTTTTTATATTGTAGTTTGTTATAATTGAATTAAGTGGCACAAATATTCCTACAGCATTTCCCGAAAATCCAGGTAACAGTTTTAATAATGTAGACTGGTTAAAAGGCAGCTGTGTATCCATTTAGATTGGATATTTAGGGTTTTAACGTCGGAGGAAAACAAGAGTAAATTTTTCATATTGTAGTTTGTTATAATTCGATTAAATGGCATAAATATTCCTACAGCATTTCCCGAAAATCCAGGCTAGCAGTTTTAATAATGTAGCCTGGTTAAAAGGCAGCTATGTTTCGATTTAGATTATGTATTTAGGGTTTTAACGTCGAAGGGGAATACGAGTATTTTTTTTATATTGTTGTTGTTGTAACTTCAGTTAAGTGATATGAACGCTGCTATAGCAATTTCCGAAAATCCAAGATAGCAGTTTTAATAATGTAGTCCGATTGAAAGACAAGAAAGTATGGATTTAGATTATTTTAGCGTTTTAACGTCGTAGGGAACAACAGTAAATTTCTTATATCGTAGCAGTTTGTTATAATTGTAATTGAGAGATATAAATGATACTATAGCATTTTCCGAAATTTCATGTTAGCAGTTTCAATAATGTAGTCCAATTGAAACCCAAACAAGTATCGGTTTAGATAGGGTTTTAACGTTTGAAGGAAAACAGAGTTTTTTTATATACTGTTTTTGTATATATGATATATGTAAATGCGGCTATAGCATTTCCGGAAAATCCAAATTAGAAATTTCTATAGCGTACCAGGTTTGAAAGGCAGCAAAGTATCGATTTCGATTGGGTATTTCAAGGTTTTAACGTCGGAGAGGAACAAGAGTATTTTTTCATATAGAAGTAATTATATATGAATGCTGCTATAGCATTTCTCGAACATCCAAATTAGCAGTTTCAATAATGTAACCCTATTGAAAGGCAGTAACGTATCGATTCAGGTTGGGGATTCCAGGGTTTTAACGTCTGATGGGGAACAAGAATATTTTTTTTATATAATAATTTGTAATAAATGAATTGATTGATATAACTGTCGCAATAGGATTTTCTAAAAATCCAAGTTTGCAGTTTTAATAATGTATCCAGATTTGAAAGCAGCAAAGTATCGATTTAGATAGGGTATTTAAGGGTTTAAGCGATGGAGGGGAACACGAGTAAATGCTTTATATTGTAGTTTGTACAGTTAATGGAGTGATACGGTTGAGTCATAGCGATAAGGAAATGAAGAATTTATCCGGCGCTGGGTAGTAAACAAGCAGTAGGTGCGAGTGTAAGCGAGCGGCTAAAAACGGATAGGTTGTTGGTAGGAAAAGCATGCTCGTAAAGTTACCTGAAAATATCTCTAGCACATACATGTAATACCGCCTTGTCTACACTTCACTTATTACACGTACATATACATCACATATGGTGGATCATGACGTAAGCAGACTGGATAGAGCTTTGGTTAATTTTGTATATATCTGGGACTTGTGTAAAAAGTGTGCGCGGCATACAGCATCGAGACGCCACCGACGCGTCGTCGTCGTCCTACTGCCGAACTGCCAAACTGCCAGAGCCAGAAGCCGAATCGGGTCCAACGATTGCTGTGGCAGGGGCACGGGGAAACAGGCTACACGCGCACTAGACACCCGACTACATTGGCCAGACGCTACAACGGCTGAACGGCACGCCAGCACGGCACCAACGAGCACGAGCACTCGGCAGTTCTGGGAACGGGAACGTCCGAACGGGCGTCGAGCGAACGGGAACCAGCGCCTCTGGAACCGACGCCCGACGTCGATGCCCAAGGCCCAAGCCGACGTTGCCAGACAGCGCCGCCGCCACACCGATCGCGATGCGCCGATACCTCTACCGAGCCACACTACTTCTGTACCTCTATAGCAGGACAACCCTTAGAGACATAGGAAGAGAGATTCTTCCATGGCAAATATTTACAGAAAGCCATTTCACATGACAATCTTTCACATATAGATAGAACACGAGACAAAAATAGTACCACAAGTTCCTATAAGAAATATCCTAAATTTCAAGTCGATAAGGAATCGGGCCTTAAAAATGATAAAGTGGATTACTGCGTACTTCTTACCAAATTAGGCTTGCTTAGCTTCACTGATAACACAATATTAGATTAGCTTAGAGAAGTAAGGGGTTGACTTGCCAGCCTTAGCATGGATCTTTTGGGACTCCCCTATACCGGGTGTTCCTTAATGATATGCGAAGATTTAAGGGTGTGAATCTACATGAAAAATTAATGTTAGTTTGCTTTATAAACTATGGTCCAAAAATGTTTCCTTACAAAAACTCGGGGTGCTGAAGTTTTAGGAAAAAATGGAAATTAATTAATATTCTCAGAACCGGTTCAGATATTTCACTGATATTTAGTACTTAGTGAAAGTTAATAAAGTTGAATATTTTTCAAAGCAAAAATAATTTTTAGCTTAAACAGTGGCGTGCGTACGGGTACGAGGGATGTCTTTTAAGTTTTGCATATAGAAATAAAATAACACGGTAGGTAGTTTTAAACGACTTTATTGTTTTTCGAAGTATTCTCCACGAAGATTAATACACACCTGCATGTGC